CCTGACCGGTGGAAGGGCGGTCTGAATCTTCAAAGGTATGCTAAGGAGCATGCCGAGCAGTGGCTACATTGTCAGCCCGCCGCCTTACCTCTTCATGGGCTCGATCTTGTTCTCGCCGTTTCTTAGTGACCGCGATATCCCTGAACATCAGTCGCTGCGGATGCGCGAACCACACCAGCAGCGGCACGCAGCGGATGAGTCAGCCCACGCCCGCAAGGGCGCTCGGCTGTTACACAGTGGCATAGACGGATTTTAGGAAGCAAAATGCTGCTGCATCTTCTGCGTCTGCTCCGAGGAGTGTTCTTCAGTTTGGCAGCGGCAGCAGGAGAGATGCAGCCCCCTCCAACAGGGAATTTGTGTCTCTTGGAGGCAAACACCGTCGGGTTGTTGCAACAAGAATAACTTACCATCGCTCCTTGAACTGAAGCAGAAGCGCTGCCAACCTGAGGTGCGCCATCCTCTTGCGGGCTTTCGGCTGCGGCTGCTGCCTCTGCTGCAGAGAGCCCCAGCGAGACCAGCTGCCTATCCACAAGTTCCTGCTGTAGTGCAACGGTGGCCTCGTTTACCACTCCACTGGCACTTAGGAGGCGAACGGCTTCCTGCACGAGCAATGGTAACGGAATATTTCCGGTCCTGACAAGCTATCGGAGGAGATCGAGAAAAGACGAGGCAAGCGATTGTGCAGTCTAAAACGAAACCGTAAAATGCGCGAATAGTCTGATACTGCAGAAGACCTGTCAAGAGGAACATAGTCTCAGCAGCAGGCAGATTAAACAGGTGCTGCGGGCGCAACTGCCTACGTCCTTAAATCCCGAAGGTAACGAATAGTAAGGTACACGGCCTTCCTGCCACTCCTGCAGAAACATCTTCGCAGCGGCCTGCATATCCGGCGCCCCGCCCTTGAGTAGCTTGCCTCTCCGTTTTGCGAGCGCCTGAAGCGCTTCCCGCGGGGTGGAGAAAGAAGGGAGCTGGTACAGCCGCTGTAGGGCACTGACACTTGAAATCGCTATCAGGGCCTCAGCAACGGCCTCCGGCTCCGGAATCTGCGGAACCGGAAGCAAAGACTGCAGCAATACCGACGCAGATGCAACCAAAGGTTTCTCCTGTTGCTTCCCTTGCTGTTGATCCTGCTGCTGTTGCGTGCCAATCAAGGAATGCGGGTGTGGCAGGATTCTCGCAGTGTCCTCCTCTCTTGCTGGTGGCGCAAAGAGAACTCCAGGAGAGTCAATGAGTTGTGTATGAGAGTCAAGCTTTATGTATTTTAGCTGGCGAGTGCTTCCCGGCAGCGCAGCCACTCCAGCCGAAGATGCACTGCGCGTCAGGGCGTTCACTACGGAGCTCTTTCCCACATTCGGGTACCCTACAACGCCAACTGTCATAAATGCCTTGCTGGTACTGCTTCCGCTGGTGCTCCGACTAGAAGGGTGGCTTGTTGTTGTCGTGCTGGCATTTGTCCCTTCAACAGCCATTGTTTCTGTTGTTCTCGTTGCTGCTGCCGTTGGTGCTGCTTCTGCGTCGCCAGAGCGGGAGGGCTTTGCCGCTGCATGAGCTATAGAAGACAGAAGCCTCAGCAAGGGTTGCACACCCAGTGCGTGTGAACTGCTCCTGCAAGTCCAGCGTAGACCTATACCCCAAACCCTCAACTCTAAACTAAACGTGCGAATGGCTGACAGACAGAGTGAAACAGGTGCATTTTGTCTACTTAGATCAAAGTTGACACTGGGATCTGCCCTTTTGAGTTGAGCATAGCTTCGTAGCAAATGCATTCTTCTCTAGTGGCTGAACACATTCAATACACAAGCATTGGCGTGGGACCCCCAACACCGCCTTTACCACGCTCTACTGCCCAGGGCACCCGACACCGCAATAATTCGAGTGTAATACCGTAATAATTCGAGTGTAAATGTGGAATTCCCGGTCACCTTTTGAGTTTATCCGAGGCGCGAAGAGGGTCCGCTGCACACCATCTGCCCGTTCTCTTGCCGCCGGTGCTGCTGCTGCTGCTGTTACACTTGAAGGCCAACACGGGACAGACGGAGCTCCGCCGCAGCTGGTGTAACCACGCTGCAAGAGCCGCAGCGGGTAGCAAATCCACCTTGTTCAGCAACAGGATAACCTTCTTGCCTTCCCTGGAGTGCCACACACATAAGAACATCAACAAAAAAAAGACCCTATCGTGGGCAGCAGAGCCGTGGATCTGCAGAGATAAAATAGCGACCGGACCTGCCGAACCATGAAGCCTAAACACCAACCTACCGAATAGCCCATCGCTCCAGGCCGGCACATCGAAATGCCAGGGGCAGTCGCGCGTCGAGGACGTGAATGATGATGTCTGACGCGGCCAGAAGTTGCCGCAGCTGCTGCTGCTGCTGCCGCTGCAGAGCCGCAACGTGCTGCTGCTTGCTACTACTGCTCAGCGATAAGGACGACGCAATAGACTGAAGCGCAAGATCACTATCTGTATAGACACCCACCAGCACACCCTACAGCTACGCGACATACCATGCACCGCGACGGTTCAGGCTTTCCTTCGGAACTGCTTCACTTGTTGCTGCAGTAGCAAGACGAACCAGAGGGGCCTGTAGCTGCTGATGCTTCGAAGGCCAGCATCGCTGCCTCTGCCTTATCGGCAATATCTTGCATTGCCTTGGCATCCGGGGATCCATTAGCTTGCAGTGGTGCAGCTGTAGCTGCTATTTGCTCTTCTTGCTGCTGCTGTTGCCGCCGTTGCTGCAGTTTTTCCTCTCGTTCGCGCAGCAGTTGCTCTTCCCTCTCTTGCTTGCGCCGCAGAAGATTAGATATAATATCTGCCTTAAATGGACAGGAATTCGGAATGCCAGGGTCTCGCCGCATCTCTGCACAGCGTAAAACCGAGCAGACAGCGGCAGCCGGAGCAGCAACGGACATCTGCCGCGGCACGCTGCGGGCGGAGACGCGCCGGTAGAAGGGGAGCTGGACAGCAGAAAAAGCCTGAAGCAACAGCAGCAACAGCTGCGTGTACACCAAAACGCGAACAATGGGAACAGAAGCAACAACAAGCCGTTCCTTACTTCGTCTA